ATATTATATATATATATATATATATATATATATATATATATATATATATATATATATATATATATATATATATATATATATATATATATATATACCAACATTGGTTTTATGGATAATGATAACCCTAACATCGTCCAAACCTTTATGTCCAGGGTCAAAAAATGTGCGTATATATAAGTGCTCCGCAGCCATTTTTCTGCCCCTCATAGAGTTCTTATGGTTATTAATTAAACCTCTTCCTAAAAGATGTTATCGTACTCACCACATATATTTTAGTAAATCATGAATCACATAAATCTCAGGAGAAAAAGAAACCATATGGTGGAGGTTTTTGGATATATATTTTTTATTTGGTTGGATGGCATCGAAAGGTTGCATGCGAGAGTTTTTGAAGTTTATAAATTCTTTTCACGAAACAATAAGCTATACTTGGGATTATTCTGGAAATCATGTGTCATTTCTTGATGTTACAATCTGTAAAAAAGTAGGAGGGGGTATTTCTACTGATGTGTATTCAAAGCCTACGGATACACATCAGTATTTGGATTTTATAGGTCATGTCACCCGAAGCATGTCAAACAAGGCTATTCCCAATGGGCAGGCATTAGTCTTATAGATTGAGACGTATTTGTCCCGTTCCCAGCTTGAAGGATGAAATTACCACGCGGTATTTATTTCCCTTCCTCTCTTGCTTCAATGACGTCAAACTCCCCACTTTTTGTATCTCCATAACACTTAAAAATTTCACATACGTTTTAACTGTGTCTTTTTAGATATAAAATGTCTTGTCCACCTGAATCACGTACGAAGCCATTGTTTCTTCAGCTTCTGCAACGTGTTTTGCTATACAATTGACTTCATTGATATTCACGTTCCTTCGGAGGTCCTTTTCACTGCGCGGATGGAACGAGGTGTAGATATTGTAACGTTATTTGAATGGGAACGATGTAGCCTATTTATCAGGATATAATTAGCATATGATTGGTTTCTTTTTCCTTCATTTATTTATTATTGAATATCCAAAGAGATGCAAGTTTAGATTAAAATAACGCAAATATAAGCCGTCTACTGAGATGCAAGAAGCCTTCACTTCTGGTCACAACACATATGGATAATAAAGTAAATGGATTGGAAACAATCTGACGTGACCTAATGTTTTAAATGGGCTGATGGTGTGGTTGGATGTCCAAACCGTTGCAAACCAAATTCTCAAAAACGGCATGTTTAGCAATAATACAGCTAAACATTTTATATATATATATATATATATATATATATATATATATATATATATATATATATATATATATATATATATATATATATATATATATATATATATAGACAAAGAGCAAATAAATATAACCACGCCATTCTACGATGAAAACTCTAAGTATTCCCAGTCAATTTTAGCAAATATTTCAAGCACTAAACAGTGAAAAATACATCGCAAATTTCGTTAAAATTTGTAACGCCAATTTTGTAGCTACAAATGTAAAAAAAAATACAAAACAAAGACGAAAAACATTTACCTTGAATACTTTGTCGTAGCTTAGGCATGTTTTTAGAACAATTAGACCAGTTTATGCTTCAATATCACCTTTTTAAAGTGGAAAATATAGCAAAACAACAAAAATCGCGAGAACTTTGGTAATATTCGCAATACGCATGACATCACGTTTTTCAACAAGGATGAGTAAATAGGATAGGATAGGATAAAGCTTTATTTGACTACGCTGGCCACTTCAACCGGAGCTGCTTTCCAAGTGGGGCGTAGATAAATGTTACAAAATTATATAAAATGCAAAATCTCTAAGAATATTAAGAACTACGAATACAAATATATATTACAAAACAAAAGGTATACAGAAGTCAAATAGCTAATTCGTCAGACTAACAGAGGAAATATTTCTATTGAAAGAAATTAAAGATTCGCTGTTTCTTACGTTTTCAGGAATGCTATTCCAGATTTTAACCCCATTATATCGAAAACATTTTCTGCCATACTCGGTATTTGGTCGTGGCAGAAAGAGACACGAATTTGAACCTCGTAAATTATAACTGTGGATATGGTTAGAATTCTGGAACATTGATGAGAACCTTGATGGTGCCAAATTATTGACAACCTTAAACATGAGACCGGCCATAATATGTTTTCGCCTTTCTTCCAAGCTTATCCACCCTAATTGATCGAGGGCCAGTTGAGATTGCCCAGGCTCATCTTTAAAGTTCATTATAATTCTAGCACATCTGTTGTGAAGTTTTTGTAGTCGTTCAGACTGGGCTCTATTAATGGAATTCCAAACTTCATGACAGTAGTCGAAATGGGGTTGGACAAGACCATAATAGACCGACTTCAAAGTGTCAGAATTAGTGAAATCCTTTATCTTTTTCATGGCACTTGGTCAATATGACTGTCCCAAGTTTAAAATTGATCAATTTTGACTCCAAGAGTTTTTGTAACTTGAACCCCTTTAATTGGTTCATCTCCAATAAAAACACGCGGTTGTTCCTGTAACGTGTTAAGAGCAGCTCCGCGTAAATATCAGCCGAAGTCGTGCAATATAAAAAAATCGAAAATTCTGAAATTTTCATTTGTTACAAAGTCTCAGGTCTCATAGCTAGGTAAGAACTCGTATAATGTACATTTTCTTCAAATATTGATACTACTATTGACCACACTGCATTGTTTATGAATTATTTAAACTCTGGTTGTCGTTTTGTCCGTTATTTCTACGGAGAAAATTATCTTTTAGATACATATTGTGTGTTTACCGCTCTCGGCGGCTGTGTGTCAAAGGTCATTTCAGCGCTCAAGTGGTTGTACTTCAACCCGTTCTCAACTGCGCAAATTTAGAGTTCCCAAAAAGCTTTAATATGGCATTATTTTAGAGGATATAAGTTACTCTACTCGAGAAATATAACACGTTTCCAAAAAAACATGTATCATGCTGGATTTATCGCGCTCGAAAATTACTTAAATTGGGTGTCAGGAAATGTCCGACAGGAAGATTAAATTTCAAAAATCTGTAAAAAATTCTACTTTATTTTGATTGCCTTGCAAGTCCGCAGAGAGCGGAAGTATTTACCTGCCTTTAGCGTGATGTATTTTGTTTGGCCAACAACGCTGTGTTTTCCCGTCAAATTGCGCTGACGCGCAGCCCTATTTTCCGAACTATTTCCTTGGTCTCAGAGCTTCTCAGCAATGACGAGTTCCCCCCGCCTCAATATTCGTTCAATCGATCTTAGAATTATTTTCCGTTAATAAGCGACCCATAATGATTATTCTGACAAGCTAGTAACTTTAATCGAAAGTCACTCGAAATTCATTCAGCATAGGGTGGTGTAGAGTACTTGCCACGAGTCGACCATGTGGGAGGGAGGGCGCGGGGGAGGGAGGGCGCGGGATCGCGCGACCCGCGCTGCAGGAATTTAAATCGCATTAAAAATTTTGGCGCGAATAATTTTGACATATTAAAAAGGGTGTGTACATTTCATACAATTACTTCACCGCGCGCCGACAATGGGTCTACAAAAAACACAAAATCTTTCTCAAGAATTGATATTTCTTTGTCCTCGAATGAAACAGATATCACCGATTGTGGAAACGAAATAACTGACCCAAGTAAGCGCCGAAAGTTAATGTATCAACAAAAACAAGTGCATGTAAAAACTTATTGAATCTGGACAGTTGTTTGTCTAACAATGTGTGCCGTAATTGTGTCGACAAGAGTAGTATTTACATTGTTTACTCTGTTTGCTTCAATAATAAATATTTGTTCAACAAAAAAGCCTGAGACTGATAATATTATTTTTAGACTCCTTCGATAATGACCAATAATGTAAACCGCTTCGGCCTTCAATGTAAACAATGACGTCACCGGTGGATTTTTCCACCGG